AGAGACAGGGTTTCACCATGGTGGTCAGGCTAGCCTTGAACTCCTGACCTCAGGTGATCTGCCCACTTTGGCCTCCCAAAGTACTGGCTGCGATTACAGGTGTCAGCCACCTCGCCCAGCCTAAATGCCATTTTTAAAAAAGGATGGGGGATTATCTGGATCATGACTCTGATAGAGAATCAAGACCACCTAGAGGACGTTTATGACTTCAGTGATGGCTAGGGATGGTGATATAGCTGAACTCCAGCACTTTGGGAGGCCAAGGCTGGAGCATCACTTGTGGTCAGGAATTCAAGACCAGCCTGGACGACATAATCAAACCGTGTCTCTATCAAAAATTAGAAAAAATTAGCTGGATGTGGTGGCACATTCCTGTACTCCTAGCTATTTTCAGGGCTGAGGCAGGGTAAATGCCTGAGCTCAGAAGTTTGAGGCTACAGTGTACGACTGTGCCACTGTACTCCAGCATGGGTGGCACAGTGAGATCTTATCTCAAAACAACTGAATAAATAAAAAACTACCACTCTTTATTTGAAAATTCTTTCATTTCACATATTAATATTTCCCAGCCAGGTGTGGTGGCAATTTGGGACACCAAAGTAGAAAGACTGCTTTAGCTCAGAAGTTTAAAACCTACCCGGGCTTCACAGTGAGACTCTTAAAAACATTTTTTTAAATTAGCTGGGCATGATGGTGTGGACCTACAGTCCTAGCTACTCTCAAGGTTGAAGCAAAAGGGCCAGGCGCAATGGCTCCTGCCTATAATCCCAGCACTCTGGGAGGTTGAGGTGGGTGGATCACCTGAAGTCAGGAGTTCAAGACCAGCCTGGCCAACATGGCAAAATCCTGTTTTTACTAAAAAATAAATAAAAATTAAAAAAATTAGCGAGAGAGAGAGCGCCCAGGATCCCAGAAGTTCCAGGCTGCGGTGAACCATGATTACACCACTGCACTCCAGCCTGGGCAACAGAGTAAAACCTGAATCTTTAGAGAAAAAAAGACACTCTGAGCCCTAATATCAATGAGCTTATGGTTTGGAGGATGGGGGAAAAAGTGACTAATATAGCCAAGCGTAATATGGGTTGCGAAGGACAAAACACGTATGACACGAACAAATAGACACATATGGCCTAAAGCTAAATGAAAATCTAGAGGAAAGTAATAAATTTTACATAACACAAATCTCATTTAAATGTTTTATTCTCTCTCCCTTTCTCTTGTTATAAAAATATCTTTTGGAAAATTAAATGTTCTTTTAAACATCCTTACTTGCTAATTATGTGTACTGTTTGCTCTTTAAAATTTTATTCTGTGACCCACTGGCACAGGATACACTAAGGTATAACACAACCCACCGGCACAGGATACACTAAGGTATAACACAGCAAGAGACAAGTAACCCAGTCAAAAATCCTGAGATTTTCCTGACAGTAATTTAGACAAGAGGCCTAAATTGAAAATGCCATTACTCTAAAAGAACATGTAAAAATTAACATATGCTGTGGACAAGAACCTAAAAGCAGATAAAAGAAATTCTAAATCAGAAACAAATGCAGGAATCTCATTTTGGCATACTCTTGTGCAGTGAAACCTTTCCTTCCTTTAATACATCAGGCATTTCTTTCCATTTATGTGAATGAAACTTGGCTAAAGGGCCAGACTTAGACTCTTATCATTCTGTTCTTTTTTTTTTTCCCCAGCACCAACTTACTGTATCATTCTGTTGTTTTAGCTTGTGAAGCATTCATTAGATACACCTTATCTAATGCTGATCAAATTAGCATGTGTTTTGTCTTCCCAACTATAACACTGTAACATACAGCACTTTGATGTACAGGTAACCTTAATGTTTATATTAAGGTTACACTATTATATAACCCTCTATTAAATATTTTAAATATATTAAATAACTTTATATTAAATATTTATAACATTAATATTCAGTAGTACTTGGTACAAAGAACATGCATGATATGCACCCCAGGTAAACAAATACATATGCTATGGTACTTGTACAAAGGACAGCTATAGCTAACAAGTAGAGAATACCTCTAAAAGACAGGACACTTATGGACAAGGGAATACAATATTTTAAATTAATATGTAATTTCTAATACCAAAGTTACTTAAAGATGAAGGAAAATTAATGTTCAGAAGATCTAATCTATTTTGTGAAATAAATCTTTCGGTTAAAGAAGGCTCCCAGTCAATATTAAAAAGGTAAACATGTGGACTAGGTGTGGTGGCTCATGCCTACAACCCCAGTACTTTGGGAGGACAAGGTGGGAGGATTGCTCAAGCCTAGCAGCCAGTAGCATGGGCAACGCAGTGAGACCCCATCCCTACAAGACATTAAAAAAAAAATTTTTTTTTAGTAGGGTATGGTGGGACATGCCTGTGTTCCCAGCTACTTGGGAGGCTGAAGTAGGAGGATTGCTTGACCCCAGCTATTTGATGGTGCCACTGTACTCCAGCCTGGGGAACAGTGTGAGACCCTGTCTCGACAAAAGAGAAAATAAGAAAACTTTTTTAAATTAATTTTTTATGTTAACAAATCCAACAATGATATTGATAAACTGGTAATAATCATATATTTCAAATGTGGAAAAGATCTTCCAGAACAATCAAATGTGATAAAAAAAAGA